GCAAGAAGAATTTACCAACCTGGCCACCAGAATCGCACTGGAGGAAAAGTTTCGATACTACAGAATTCAGAACCAAGAGAAGTAAACCAGAAGACACTTAGAGTCTAGGTACAACAACCCTTTCAGGGCTAACTAGTTTAGTAGTTAGGGAGAGATTAGTATAAGGGACGGTTGAAAGTAGATATCAGGATTGGAATGAACCTTGTAAAAGGCAAGAAGTAGGTAACGATAGCAATGCAGAAGATCGCAAGTTCCAGTTTTTGGATTGGGTTGTATGTTACCAAAAAACCTAAATGATACATATGTGGAACATGGACTGCTTTGGTAGGTTTACTATGAGAATAAAGTAGTCTTAAGAGGCCTTAGCAGCAGAAATTCTTCTAGAAAAAGTATCTGATAGCACTTAGTCGATCAGAGGTTTTAAATAGAAAATTCACAAGCAGATTCTAGATATAGCAATTGGTGAGTAACTATAGATAAAAATAGATATAGTAAAGCCCTTAATTAGATATTAACTAAAGTTATATGTATGACCAATTGTACTCTCATTGATATAACAAAGTCAAGGAGTGCCTATTCGGTATTCTAATAATTGAACTAAGAAGTTAATAAACTGTGCCAGACCCCAAAGTAGTTACCTTAATATTAAAAAAATATATATATTTGCATTTAGTATATAATTTAATTGTTCATAAATTCTATTTAGGAATTTTATAATATATTTAATATTTCTATGTAATCAAGTTACTATATAATCAAAATGGGTTCATCTATAGTATAACGTGTACTAATACACTCGATAATCACATCAAATATCACATTATAAATAAGGTTATATATCGTCAATTTACATTACATAATTTTTATTGATAGATAAGTAATGATTATCTATAAGGCGAAATGCTACGTTACAGGTGAATGGGGACAAAATTTAATTTGTTCCTTGAAGTTACCCAAGAAAAATCATAATACTTCGGTGGGAAAAAGGAATCATAACAGGAAATCTAATTCCAAATTAATTTTTCTAACCAAAACTAACATGATCGGTTACTCAAATTTTAGATTATAAAAGAATGACCAAATATAGATTCAAGCCATATTCTCTAATAAACAATAGATAACTTTGAAAAAATCGATGGTAATATGTATTTTCCTAACGAACAACTTCCACCTGTTGATGTATATGATTATAATACTGTGTTTTACGATGATAATGGCTGCGAAGTTTTCTATCATTTGTATCTACCAGAATACAATAATGATATTACATACGAAATGCCTTATTACGAAATCCCATGCCAGGAGAAACAAGGTGAAAAGGAAAAGGTTATGATCGATACACGTGAAGAGAAATTGGAGAAGGAAAATGAAAAGTTACAAAAGAAAATCGAGATTCTTGAAAATGATATTGAGAAAAAGGACAAGAATAATGATAAACAGGCCAATTATATTGTTACTCTTCGGAATAAATTAAAAAACTATGAAAATAAAATTGATAAATTGAGAATGACCTTGGTTCTGAATTCTGTAGTATCGAAACTTTTCCTCCAGTGCGATTCTGGTGGCCAGGTTGGTAAATTCTTCTTGC